GACCTTAGTAGATATGGATATGTGTATCTCATGAAACACAAATCGGAATGCTTTGACAAATTCAAAGAATTCAAGAACGAAGTAGAAAAACAATTAGGCAAAAGTATTAAGACCCTCCGCTCGGATCGAGGAGGTGAATACTTAAGCCTGGAGTTCGATGACTATCTGAAAGAGCATGGGATCTTATCCCAACTCACTCCTCCAGGGACACCTCAGTTAAATGGAGTGTCTGAGAGGAGAAATCGGACTTTGCTAGACATGGTCCGGAGCATGATTAGTCTGACAACATTGCCAGAATCATTTTGGGGATATGCATTGAAAACAACAGCACACACACTCAACAGAGTTCCATCTAAAGCTGTCGAGAGCACACCATAGGAACTATGGCGTGGGAGAAAACCAAGTTTCTCGTACTTTAAGATTTGGGGCTGTGAAGCTTATGTAAAACGTCTCATGACGGCTAGTAAGTTGGAGCCTAAATCTGATAAAGTAATTTTTGTGGGATACCCCAAGGAAACTAGAGGGTATGAGTTCTATCATCCATCCGATAACAAAATTTTGGTTGCTCGGAATGGAACCTTCCTTGAGAAGGAGTTTCTTTCTGCTATCACTAGTGGGAGAAAGGTAGACCTCGAAGAAATTCAAGAACCACAAGAGGAAATCCCGATAGTGTTGGAACCCGAGCAAAGAGATCAAGCAATTGAACCTCAAATTGCTCAAGATATACCACGTAGGTCAGACCAGATACGTAATCCTCGAGTCAGATAGGGATTTCTCATGTCTGAAGAAGGTGACGTCTTGTTGGTAGATCAAGGCGAACCAGAGACCTACCTCGAGGCAATTACATGCCCCGAATCCGATCTGTGGCTCGAAGCCATGAAATCTGAAATGGAGTCTATGTACACAAACCAAGTCTGGACCTTGGTTGATGCACCCAAAGGGGTAAAACCCATTGGATGCAAGTGGGTCTTCAAAAAGAAGACAGACGTAGACGGGAAGGTTCATACCTTCAAAGCTAGATTGGTAGCAAAAGGTTATAGACAAATCCACGGAATTGACTATGATGAAACCTTTTCTCTAGTTGTTATGCTGAAATCCATTCGGATAATGCTTGCGATTGCAGCCTATTACGATTATGAAATTTGGCAGATGGACGTCAAGACGGCTTTCCTTAATGGGAACCTCAAAGAGGATGTCTTCATGACACAGCCTGACGGTTTTCAAATTGTTGGTCAGTCTGCCAAAGTTTGTAAACTGCAACGTTCATTCTACAGATTAAAACAAGCATCTTGGAGTTGGTACATACGTTTCGATGAAACCATTTCCATTTTTGGTTTCGAGAAGAACTCTGATGAATCTTGTGTATACAAGAAGGTCAGTGGGAGTGTAATAGTATTCCTAATATTATATGTCGATGACATATTGTTAATGGGTAACGATATTCCCGCTCTCACTTCTGTAAAGACGTGGTTGAGCGAGAACTTCTCCATGAAAGACATAGGGGATGCTAGTTATGTCCTTGGCATAAGAATCTACCGATATAGATCAAGAAAGTTAATAGGTCTAAATCAAAGTACATATATAGATAAAATCCTTGATCGATTTAGCATGTCTAACTCAAAGAAAGGATCTTTACCTATGACACCTGGCACGGTTCTTTCCAAGAGCCAGATTCCTTCTACTCCCGAGCAGAAGGAACTCATGATGAAGGTTCCATACGCTTCTGCAATTGGATCCATCATGTACGCCATGATATGTACTAGACCTGATGTCTCATTCGCTTTAAGTGTGACCAGCATATACCAGGGAAGTCCAGAAGAAGCACACTGGACAGCGGTCAAGAACATCCTCAAGTATCTTCGCAATACTAAGGATGCATTCCTGGTATACGGTGGTGAGGAAGAGCTAAAGGTGGTCGGTTACACTGATGCTAGCTTCCAAACCGACAGAGACGATTCAAAATCACAAGCAGAATATTTGTTTTGCCTGAATGGAGGAGCTTTTAGTTGGAAGAGCTTTAAGGAGGATACAACCGCCGATTCGACTACAGAGGCTGAGTACATAGCTGCTGCCGAGGCAGCAAAAGAAGCTATTTGGATCAAAAAGTTCATTACTGAACTTGGAGTGGTTCCTAGTATTAATGACCCTATCTCGTTGTTTTGCGACAACATTGGGGCCATTGCACAGGCAAAGGAACCGCGATCTCACTAGAAAACCAAACACATTGTACGACACTATCACATCATACGAGAAATCGTAGATAGAGGAGATGTGATGATTTGCAAAGTAGATACTGACGACAACATAGCCGATCCCTTGACCAAGCCTTTAGGAAAGCTAAAGCATGAGGGTCACACAAGGTCCATGGGCATTCGCCCGATATCAGATTGGCCATAGTGCAAGTGGGAGTTTGTTGGAGTTGTGCCCTGATGGCCAACTGTTCATCGTTATCCTATCATGTATATGCAGATATAATATGTTTACACATCTCATGCTAATGTAAACAAATATTATATTACTAGATTTATATTTAAAGATGTTTATCAGATAGTGTTTCTCTGCTGATGAGACTAACATCTTGAAATAAATATTTATCTAAATGTCCATAGTCGAGTATTAACGAGAGTAGGATATCGTTAATGCATGTGAGACTAGTGTGTGTTGGATGTTTGACTTAGTCTCATAGTCAATGACAGCGTGTTCGCATCCGCACATGGGCAGATATTATCTGGAGATAATAGGATGCCGGACTGACCCATCCTAAAGATGTTGCTTGAACTTTTAGTTCATGCTCTAAGCGTCTTTAGCGCGATCACGGGTGTAACTATCCTTCGACTTGAAGTATTATGTTTTCTGCATATGTGAACCCGCATACTTTGATGCATTGTCCTAAGCCATATGAAATAAGGATGGTATACAGGCTTTGTTTTGGGTATGCCGCAGCGCGTATTTAGAAACGTAGATTACGTACATAGGATTTGTCACTA